CCATTTCTACTCCCGCTGCAGGCCGAGGACCTTCGCAAGCCGAACATGCATCTAAAAGGTCTGCTGAAAGCGAACTTAGTGTATGCGACGAAGTTCTTGGACAGCCAGCGTCTCTTTTCTAAAGTCAGTCTACAAGATGACGGGAGGATTCTTCTTCACGGTCTCACAGAAGATACTCCTCCCGAAGGCGCTTGTATCTTGCAGGTAAGACCTCTTGAATATGTTCGTGTTTTTTCGCAGGTTACTCAATATCTAGCGTGAAATGATGACCCGGGACTAAAGACAAGTCTTAATAATGTTTTATTAATCCTTCAGTTCGACGACGCCCTGAAACAGATGAACGAGACCAACACACTGACTTTCCTGGACATCGCCCTGGCGGACTCTCCAGCGCGTCGCGTCTTCATCCGCCTGAACCCAGTGAGTGTTCGAGGCCGCCACTACGTCATCTTGTGCACGGGCCAGCTGGGTCGGTCTTACATCGACTCCAGCCTTCGGAAGGTCGTCAACCAAGACAATCCTGGCGAGTTCATTGTCGGAGGACGTTTTTCCAGTGCGGGAGGACCCCCTCATCTGCCCTTCGATAACCGTGTCGACCGCACAGCTTCGGCAGGAGTCGTCTTCGGTCTGCCCGGAGATGTGACCAAGGGGTCCGAAGGGTTCGGGCTCTTCTGCGTCTGCACGAAAGGCAAGGTTAATACGGAGTTCCCCACGGCGTTCGGACGGGTGGAGAGTGGCCTCGACGTCTTCATCTCGGCCACGAAGAAGGCTGATGTCACTAGCTGCAAGTTAGTCGACTGCGGTGTTGTGCTGGGATGATCTAGTCCGCAACAGATTCATTTGCTTGTGTTTGGCGTATTTCTCTACCTGTTTTTTCGTATATTTTACCTGTATATGTACTATGTAAATTGAACAAGCCAGTGTTTGTGGAAATAAAACAGAGTAGTATCCTTCAATAGTATTCTTTCCATCCATAGATTTCACAGTAAGAAAGGTTCATGCTGAGATACGTATTTAATTTCACTATTCATTAATCCTTACGTTATCAACATTAGTGTTACATGCAGTATTAAAGAGAAAGGTCTAAACAAGTGAACACAACCTACTTGCTATAATATAAAGGACTATAAATCAAAAACACTATAAAATACAAACAGACATACTACCATATTAGACCGCATCATGATTATTCTTGCTATCACATTTCTTCCTTAATTGGCAAATAATCTGAGGGTTGCATCCCTACCCATTGATATCAACAAGTAAATCCATTGGAAGATAAAGGAACATGGCATCTTCGATACAATTCCCTCTGCAGTTCCAAAAACTCCGACTGAGGAATATATATAAATGAATCAACATAACCTTCAAGTGAACTTTTTTCAACAACTATTTAACCAGTATACAAACGAATTAAATTGTTTAGAAAAGATGGCAGTATATCCATATTAATATTGCTTCCGAATAGAAAAGACTGCCACCTGGCTCACCAAAAAGTTTGAAGTATGAAAATTTTGATTTTTCTCTTTAGCATTTTATTCATTACCAAACAAAGTTCTGGGCTGCCTTCACAACAACGTATTAGAAATACTTTGGTTTGCCTTGTATCCACCTTATATTGTACTGACATTGAAAATACACATATTATATCATACAGTATTCTATTTGGTAAATTTCCTTCTTTTTAAAAATAACCAAAACAATGGAATGTTTTCTACATAATTAACACTTTCATGTTTACCATTTCTAACATAGAACTATGACATAACCAACATATAACAATTCTGAAATAATATCATGTTCTGGAGTTTTTTTTTCTAATACAGAACTTTCTTTTATTTCTCTTCTTTTTATCAAAATATGGCACAATTACTACATAGTCAGAGGAACTAAGTCTTTCCTTGACAAAAAAAAGAGAACTCTGTCTTTAATTTTATGATTATATTATAAAAGGATAAACTACTATCCTTTAATCTAATTATCTAAATCTAAATACAGAATCCCACACTTAGACCATCTTTGCTCTTTCCACATTCACTTTATAATAACTCAATATATGGTCAATAACTAACAAATATATATTTGATATTGACTGCATGCTAAATTACTCAAACGTAATCATTATAGGATATAGGGTAATTGCCGAAATAAGGTATAATCATTACCCAGGGTAAAAGGGGTCACACATTAAATTGCTTTTTTCTGAACTAGATTTGTCTTGTGCAGGGCAAAACAGAAGGAAAGTAATTTTACCTGATAATTTTTTCCATTTCCTTTTTACATTTTTTTGTGTTGTTTTCACCCACCTATTTTGTGGAAACGAAGTTAAGAAGTTCCTGTCTTTTAGGGGTTAAATTCATAGTCAGAAATACAAAAATAATAAAGAAAGGGTGCAACACAACATAAGAAAACCAAATTTCTTGATGTTATTCGAACACTTAATCCACTGGAAACCTTATCAGAATATAGGAACAAATAACAGGATAATAAGAGCATAAAAAATAGTTATTAACAAAAGAGGTATTACTGAAAAAAAATCTCCATAAGGCACTATTCCAAGATTACACTTCTACCTCCCCAAGAAGCACTGGGTGTCATGCCAAACCTTACGACACATTGGATTCTCCCTCCGGCCTTCTCCCTCATCTAATTCGCAAAGATGTCACCCATAGTAAGCCAGATGTTCTTAGCCTGAACAGAATGATACAGGAACTCCTCTCCTTGCCCTTGCTCCGAGTCGAACCAATCGCGCTTCATGCCATAATTGACCCAAGTCCTCTTGACGTTCACAGCTGATGTGTGCTCCACAAACTTGGACCCTTCTAGGCTTCCAAAATACCTAGTAATGAATTATGACGCTTTATTTTGCAGCTTGAGAGAGTAGTGGTATTTTCATGCCAGATGTTGAATCAGCAATAACAAACAAACAAGAAAAAATCATGAATGCAAATATATTTCTATTCAAATCTAATAATGTTATTATATACTATTGTTAATATATTTTAGTATGGATACTAATACATACCTATAATACACAATCATATACATAAGTACCAATATTATACTACTTCTGATGCAACTAAAATGAATATCCACTGAAATCAAACGACAGTAAAGGTCAATTTCAAAATCCCCTGACTTACCACATTGACTGGAGGTCCTGATGCTCTGCCAAATACTTGGTTATGTGGTCCCGCGCCCCAGTCAAAATGTTGATCACTCCTCCAGGAAGATCTGAGGTTTCCAGCACCTGTGGAGAGACAGCTTAACATAACTGGGACATATAGTGTGCATTAGCATGAAGGTATTCCCTGGTCTTGCCTTGAATTCTCTATACTTCAGTAAGACATATTCAGGGAGGGAAAAATCTTCTGAAATACAATACTGTTCTGGGATAGAACACCGAATTCATATTGCATATATGCTCATTATTTTAGAACTTTATTATTTTCCTTTATAATTATATTTTACATATCATTTCATCATTACTAGGAATTAGGCTTAAATAGAATTTCCAGATCATGGAGACAAAAGAAATAAACATTCCCAATAGAATCTATGGGTCCAGCTAAAGATAATGTTTAACTATCTAATGATAATGCAAAATTTTAAATAAGAAACAAGACCTGTATTAACACTTTATGAAACAATAAATTTCACTGGAAACCAGTGGCTCTATACACAAGAATGATCAGAAATGTACCCACCTGATACAAAGCCATAGCAACAGTGGGATACTTCTCACTGGGAACGACAACCACAGCATTTCCCCTGGCAATAGCTGGAGCCACGAGAGAGACAAACCCTAAGAGAGGAGCTTCATCTGGACAAGCCACCCCAATCAATCCCAGAGGCTCGTGGATCCTCAGCACCGTCCCATAGAGCTGTGTCTCCTGCACAGCTCCCCCATACTTGTCACAGAAGGCTGCCCAGTGGAAGAGACGCGCCAAGGTTGCATCCACTTCCTTCTCTGACTCTGTGGTCTTCTTCCCAGTCAGTGCTGTGAGGTGGTCTACAAACTCCTTCCGGCGCTGCTCCAGGTTTTCTGCCAAGTAGAAGAGGATCTGCGATCGGTTGAATCCGCTGCGCTTGTCCCATCCTGGCTGGGCTTTAGCTGCAGCTTCCACTGCATTACGGACATCTTTCCTACAGCAAAGAAGAAAAAGAGAGAATGAATGGAAATGAATAAAAATTGATATAGAGGATATGTTTATTCAAAGAAAAGCATTTTCAAGATGAAGAGAAAAAAACAGTCACCTACCTGTTACTTTCACCAATAAGAGCATAGGCTTTTCCTTCAGCGTTGTTGATGACACGGCAGTAGTTTCCATCAGGCCGTTTTTGAGCTCCGCCATAGTAGAGTTTGTTAATGATAATATGTAAATTATCTCCACTTAAAATCTGCTAGTGAACCCTCATTACCTATGCTATATAATAATAATAATTAAAAAAATGGTCCACAAACACAGATGAACAAACTGACATATACCCCCTTAAATAAAAATAAACAATCACATCTAGCTAAAGAAGACATCCCCAAAAACACTTTACCTCTGGCATGGCTGGGCTGATAGATGGACGATCTGCTGTGTATGAAGCACCAAACTTCGTGAGGTCAATCTCGGGGGCAACAAAGCTTAAACGCTCTTGCCATGATGGCTTCACATATTCAAAGAGTCCTGAAATAAAAGAAAAGGAAGGAAGTTATCCTCTAAACACAAAAAACACTATTTCACCATTACAAAGACTGACAGTGATGTCACTGAATGCATAATCAACTTCTAATGGGTTATCAAAAAGGGATTCTCACTTCCTCCTTCCTTCATAGTGATGTTGAACAGGGCCTCCTTCACTTATTTCTCAATTAGTTAATCATAGTAGCACAAAAGATAAAATGAGTTTCTTACATATCTTCTCTGCTACTACAAAATAATGTTTTCACAAAAAGCATTCTCAGTGCCTCTTTCTTGCTACAACAGAACAGTTACGTTGCTTCAGGGGCTTCTCAACTTACCACTCATTTCCCTCCATCTCGCACCGTCATACCCACTCTGTCTTATAACACGTTCGCCATCCGCTAGAATCCTGCCTTGAAGAGTCGCACCGGTGCGATACAACTATGGTTTGTGGCATATGTGTATCCATTCGCGCGATGCAATATGCACCTGTATCCTAAATTTTGTAAGAGCAGTAGAAGTTTTAATTTTAAGGTATGTTTAACTATTCACATATCCGACAACATATCTGCTTTTGACTACGGTAGCAGTATCCTATTCAATATCACTGTGATGCGGTCTTTTTATTATTTGTCTTTATCCTCTATGAGTTTGGAAATTATTATTTTTCTTATGTCCTCTGGCTGACTGGATTTGTGACATAGATCTACGCATGTCCTTTTTTTCTTTCTTTCTTATTTATCTTCTCAAACTCTCACGCACACATACCTTTGATCAATCAAAGACATAAGCGTATAATTCTTGATAATCATTCTCGTACTCATCGTCCAAATTCGGATTCTACTCTAACTTCCTCTAATTCTCTCTCACTCTTACGCTCTCAAATATTATCCTCTCTCTCTCCTCTCTCTCTGATTACTCAACTCTCTCAAATATCAATACATTCACATATCTTCTGGAACTTTATTTTCTAAACACTTTCATTCCTCCTCTATCTTCCTCTACTAAATAGCCTCCTTCTTACACACTCTTCATTCTTTTACATTATGAGTGTACTATTATCGTCTCCGTACTCAGATTAATTTTTACTTTATATTTTTTCAATGTGCGCACTCTTTTCTATCATCTTGGCTTGCTGCTTCATTGTCACAAGGTCATTTGTCTTCAGCTCCTAAAGACGGATGAACCTCTCAAGCATAAAATGGTGTTGTTGGCAAGTGCTATTGCTTCCTTTGCAGTTCTGGAAGCAGAGAGAGAAACTGCAAGTTTCTAACAAATGGATAAGAATTTGGGGAGCAATATTAAAATGAGAACAAAAATTTAACTGATTTTAAAACCTACCACTTATTTATTTATATTTTTCCTTGCTATGAGGTTCCTAAATTACAAAAAAATATATGATACTCAAATTAATTACTTGGTATACTGAACACAATTCACACAACCTCCCAAACAACTTCTTGCATCATCCCTTCACAAAACTAAGCAATTCCCTGTCACAAACTGTTAATCAAACCACTCTTAATCACACTCCAACACACTTTTAAAAGTAAAATTAACTGCAATAACTAGATAAAATATCCTAAATAGGCATACTCAGCTAACTAGCACAGGACCAAAGATCTCTTCCACAACAGTTTTCGACGTGGTGCCAACATCGGTGATCAGGGTTGGTGGGTAAAAACAGCCGGGTGGTGCCTCTACTTGGAAGACCTATGAGAAAACAAGAACTATACTGAAGGAGGTTATGCTGGTGTTATCTTCCATCACTAGAAGACGAGGATGATGGAAATTAAGGAGCAGAGGGAAAAGGAAAGAGAAGAGACATGTTTATATGTTTTAGTGCTGCGCCTAAATCTTAGACTATCAATGCTACGGTATTCGCAGGGGAGGGAGGGAGAGTACCACAAGTACAGGTCTATCATTACACATGTTTGAGTTAAGAGTCTGCGAAGATGGGAGTGCAGGATTGATTTGTGTGCAAATATAGGATGCACAAATAAGAGACCGAGTGCGAGAGTTAGAAACTGTTACTGAATCCACTCTGAAAGAAATTAAAACGAAAATTAATAGGAAATATTGTAATTGATAGGGTGAGCATGATCACACATATAGTAATGAATAACATCATGAATGTTCTACTATGCGAGTTTATATCTATCTCACATACATCTCCGTTCCCTATTTTCCTGTCCCTTTCTATTGTTCACACTACATACTTTGATACTCACTGCTTTTCAAAAGTCATTCCATGCTCACAATAATATAAATTCTTTCTAGTTCATAATGTATCATTAATTGAATTTGGTTCCACACAATAAATTGTGACAGGAACTATAGGGTGGAATATCGAGGGAAGAGAACCCTAGAAGAGGAGGCAATATTCTCCGATGTGCCACTTGAGACGACTATACAGCTTATGCGAGAGTGACAACTAGTATCAGAAGAGTAAACGGGAGGAGTTATTCTAGTATGGGAGAGGAAAGGGAGAGAGACGGAGAAGCCATGGGACGAGAAGAGAAGGGAAAGACGCGACAGAGAAGTATAATAGAAAGCAGAGAGAGATGAGAACACAGAGTGAGAGAGGAGACAATTTCTTTTTCGAGATGATTGCAAAGAGGTCGAACAAATAAACGCGAAAAATACGACAGTGGAAAACGAAAGACATTCTATGGAAGAAGAGAGCTAGTCATCAAAGACTGCGACATATTGAAAAGAAGAGAAGAAAGGGGGACAGGTGAAACACACGAGTCGAGTAGAAGAGAGGGAAACAAATTTCCTTGCGGCACAAATGCACTAGTGTAGAAGCTATCGGAGAGCAAGGGAGGAAAAGTAAATAGAGACCTCAGATGGCATCAACAAACTAAGGAAACGCATGCACTCGTGTACAATGCTGAAGATTTCTTAGTCTCAAGTCTTGAGTCTACTCACCTAATGAACAGGCGGTTCTTTTGGCCCCCCTTAAGTTCTGTTGGATGGAAAATATCTTTTTAAGAAATGTTTTAGATGAAAAGAAAAGTAAACCGGAAAAAAGAGAGAAAAAGATAATAATATTTCAAATGTACACACTCCTTTCTCTGTATTGAAGAATCCACAGAATAATTCCCACGCGGTTCTATAGTATATAACGCTTAATACATGAATATAATGTGTGTAATATCGACTAGAGCAAATATACAGCCGACACAGTTGCCCCTGTGGCCTCCCCACCAACCGAATTAGAAAAAACACACACACGCAATGAACCACCAAAATAAATCAGCTCTCGTGTGTGTGTCAATCTGTGATTTTTAATTTTTTTACTTTCATCGCACGATGTACACAATTCCCAGCCTACATAAGACTTTAAGGTATAGACCGAGCTTAAGTTTCGTACTTGGAGTCTTAATAGGATAATAACCTTGTAATAGTCCATGTTATACTGAGACTTATGTTCTGGCAAGAGCGAATCCAACACCAAAGGTGGAGCAAGCTTCTGAGCCTTAACAAAGGCTGCTATAGACGTGCAGTAGCTCTTCTGAGAAATCTGACCCGAACTTGTCCTGTAAGTCCTGTTACAGAGCACGCTCTTGAGAGCATTTTGTGCGAGAGTGTGGGAGTAATTGAGGGATTGCGTAAGCAAGGAGGGATCCCAATGTGACTATTCTCTTCTGGTATGACCACATTGAGGAAAGACTCCTCGTTGTGGAGGCTGGGATGGAGTGGCCAGCAATTCAAGTAATAGAAAAAGGAGAGGTAAAGCTGTAAATGGTGGAGTAATACGACTTGGAATTAGATCAGCAAAAAAGGAGAAGGTACAAAACATTATTTTAGAGTCTCCATCAGCCCCTGGGCCCAGCAATTTTTCACGCGAATATTGAAAGAAGTCCACTTAATAGATAATAGTGAGTTCGACATTGATCAAGATACAGAAGACCGCTCTCGCCCTCACACTTCTAGACAATCTTCTCTCACATCTCAGCTGGCATCGAAATACTTTCGATCGGAATGATGCTCTTTCTCTCTACTCACGTCTGGGTGTAAAGATTATATTAATATCTATTATCATATACTTTAATCACTCTCTCAACTTGTTTACCTAATCTCAATTGTTCGGAAATTTAGCTCACTCCATCTCCTATCCCACTAACCATATAAGCTCAGATCTTTCTTCGTCAAGATCTCATCTATAAGTATACGTCAGTCTCCCAACATTTCTCTGTCATTCTGTGGCCCTCCACCCATACTATATCTAAAATTCCTCCCATGACCTCTCTTTCTCTCCGTTCATTTTCTTTCCTGTCAACTCCCTTTTCTCTAGATTATTCTACTTTCTTTCTCTCTCTCTCTCCCTCCCTCAAAAAAGTCTCACTTCCCTTCACTCTAGCCTCTCTCACTTCCCTCGAAAAGTCCGCCTATGTCGCACCCGTTCAACACACCTGACCTCTCTAAGACAAAACATATACAACTGTGCACACAAAAACCCGCCATCACTCTCTTGTTGATATTTATGAGATAGATATCTTGGTAGGCCCACTCGTAGGTGAGACAATATTCATGTCTTATTCTCGAAGTCACTAACTTTCACCATTGCTCCCATGGCCCCACCCCTGGAGCTATGTCCCCTTGGTTGGGAGCCCCTATATGCTCTATTCTACATTAGGAGGAAAAGGTGAAACGTGTAATGAACACAAGTATGTCAAAAAGACTCGTGTACCAGTGTGCAAGTATGAAGTGTTATCAAGTAAACGATCAGCATGAGAATTCCACGCTGCTCGAGTGGTACGAATCCGCTCACATAATCAATCCAAGCGTTGATAGAAGCGCTTCTAAGGAACGGCACAAGAGAAAGGCTTGACAGAGTAAAGAGACGCTCCACGTATCACATAGACAACAAAATACAATCTGAGTCAAGAGACAAAGAGCTAAGTTAAACAAGAGAATACGTAAATCACGGAGGATGGAATGACGATAACGGATGGGAGAGAGAGAGGAAGCTCAAAGACGGACTTACAGTACCAAACAGTGTAGAAATTTTCCCATAACGCCACAAAAAAGTACAAGCTGACAAGCAATCTCTATTCCAGGAATGACAGGCGACAAATGAAGATCGGGAAGAAACAAGTCAACAAGCAAGTAAGGCAAATGAGAGATTCCATGAAAGATGACAGATAAATGTGCAAACAGCTCAACTACAAACATTTAAACAACTGACCAAAGAAGAGGAAGATAGTAAAGAATAACTTATCAGAGAGGAATGTTGGTGCCTCTGTACTAGGAGAAGAAAACATTTAATCATGAACCTCATCATAACTCACACCAGAGAGAGGGGTAACATATTATGCAACTTACAACTCAATGAGATTGAAGAGGGAGAAAAGTGGAAAATCGAGGACAGAGTTGTAGCGTTAATGTGAGTATCGTACGTAGGATAGTAAAAAAGGCACGTGTGCCGCGTACCTAACTGGCCAATACATTTCTCGCCACTTCACATCTAATAAATAATAATTATCTCAGATAACCATTTTGATTAAAACAAATTTTTGGTAAAATGCTAATTAATGCCCACATTCAAGTAACCATAACAAGTTGACACATCAAAAAACAAACAAGGAAATTCCCTCCTTCTCTCTCTTCTCCTATCCATCTTAAAGGCCTCCCTTTTCACCAACAGAGTCCTTCCCACCTCTTCATCTCCTCCTTCTGTGCATCGTCTCCATCTAAACTGTTTGTCCCATTGCCTGCATGGTAGTCTTTCCCTCACTGCACGATTGGCGCACTCTTCAACAACGATGTGTAACTGTTCCCAGTCGCGGGTCTCTCGAATGGTCTTCGCATTCTTTCCTCTGTCTCTAGGGACTCTCACATTATCACGCCTCAAGAGTGCGGGAATCCCTTCTTGCTCCTCCTTCTGTGTCATGTTTGGCCGGGTGCTTACTAATTCCGCTTTCGTATACTCCCTCTGAATGGTGATTTGCTTAGATGTTTTCGAGGACAGACACGAGACTACTCTATCCACCCCATACTTTCTCTTTTCTTACTCATATATTCAGCCTCAAGTTAACTTACATCTCCTGGCATCGCATATATCAATCTAATCCCACATATTATTCTACACGGACACATCATATGAAAACACGCCTTACTATTAATATATACTATCTCTCTCAGTTACCCGCTTCTCGCTTCTACACGTCTGTTACTCAGCGTTATACGTCACCTCTCCTTGCCTACTTTTCTTCCAGAACACAACCTTCAACCCTAAGAGACGCTCCACACTGTACTGAAATGCCTTTCCGCTTGTGGCTACTCTCACCTGTACAGGTAACGAGCCCTTGCATGGCCAGACAAGGAACTCCAGGACTGAAATGCTTCCTTGGCTGCACCCACAGCCTGGTCAACATCTTCCTGGGTCCCTTGGATGGTTGAGGCCAGCACCGTGTCTTGACATGGGTCTTTAGTCTCGTAAGTCTTGCGGCCTACCGGTAACACCCACTGGTTGTTGATGAAGTGGCCAAACTTGCGGTCATGGTCATCCAGCCATGCCTGTTTCAGAGAGGAAGAATGGTCATGAAAATAACATCATGGGCCAACTCTTGTAAGTATTCTGATTCTATGTAAAGTCCCTTAAACATATTTCAATTCTGGCCTTGGTTTTCTTATGTGAACAATCTGAATACTAAGTGATTAATACATTGAAATACATAAAGAAATCTATTCTTGAATCATCAACAAGATCATTATTATAACTAAAATATCCTCTAAATCTTTAAGAAAGAATATGTCTAATTAAGTCTTAAAAAGTAATAATACAAATCAGTTAATAGGGCTCATAGATGTATACATAAACAAATAAAGGAAAAAAGGTTTACTATGAAAATCCTATTCATTCTTCATAATCAAACACACACACGCACACATACACACACACACACACACACATACACAAAAAAAAATCTCTCTCCTCCTCTCCCTCCCTCTTCCTCTCTCTCTCATTCCCTCTTCCTCTTCCTCTCTCTCTCTCTTTCCCTCTCCCTCTCTCTCTTTCCCTCTCCCTCTATCCCTTTCTCTTTCTCCCTCCCTCCCCTTCTCTCTCTTTACTGTACTCTGTGAGCCTAAACGCAGTGTCATGACAAGACAGTCTGGCAATGTGACCCACAATGAAGATGATCTGCAGCATAAGACTCCAACGTTATGCACAGACAAGACATGATGACTCAGACCTTTTTTTTTTGTAAGAGCCAATCTTTCTCTCTTATGTAACATATAGTAAATAAAATCTTATTCCGCAATGCAAGCTTTGTCTGGCATGAGATAAAAAATTACATATGTTAATAAAATAAAAATGTCTTGTCTTATTAGAAATTTTTGTTAGTATGCTTTTAGTGTCTCTTGCAGATAGAATGAGACAACAGAAAGAAAGATAAAATGGCAAAAAGAAAAAGAAAAAAGATAATAAAAGAAAAAAGAAAGAAATGATAAACATATATTCAATAGAAATCTGAGAGAACTCTAATGTAAAAAAGAATAATACACAGTTGTGAAAAAAAATATTATCTGTTACATGAATAGCAAATCATTCATAGCGCTGTGATAACAAGTCTGCCTTATCACTAGCAAGATTACATACAATCCCTTTAGAAGATGAAGAAGAAGATGACATAGAGGAAGATGTGGAAGATGAAGAAGAACAGGAAAAAGCAGCAGAAAAAAAAATCTGATGTTAAAGTAATGACAAAAATTATACAAGATTAATCACTTTGGAACCATTGATACATTTAGAAAATAAAAGACTTGACCGTATGGAAACAGTATATTCTATTTCAAAATATACTGCACTAAAAGGCATTATTGCTCTCCTACATTCTTCCTATTTATGTTTGGACTACAAACTGTTATCCAACACTTAAACAAAGACAAATATAAACACAAATGCAAACACACACTACACCTTACACAAACACAAACATGCAAACCCCTTCACACACAGACACAAACATACATACATCCCAACAAAAATACACATAAACATAAACACACACACTAACATAGACAGACAGACAGACACACACACACACATACACACACAGACAAACACACACACACACACACACAACACACACACACACACACACACACACACACACACACATACACACAGACACACACACACACACACATACACACACACACATGTGTGTAAACACACACACACACACACACACACACACACACACACACAAACACACACACACTCACATACACCAACAAACAGACAGACACATGCACAAACAAACTGATATCCTCACATACACAGACACAAACAAACGCACTCACATACACAGACAAACACACACGCACATATACTCACATACACAGACATACACACACACAAACAGAGACACTCATATACACAGACAAACACACACACACATACTCACATACACAGACTGACACACACAAACAAACAGATATGCTCACATACACAGACAGACACACACACACACAAACACACACACACACACACAAACAAACAAACAAACAACCAAACACACACACACACACACACACACACACACACACACACACACACACACACACACACACAAACACACACACACTCACATACACCAACAAACAGACAGACACATGCACAAACAAACTGATATCCTCACATACACAGACACAAACAAAGCATACACAGACAAACACACACGCACATATACTCACATACACAGACATACACACACACAAAACAGACACTCATATACACAGACAGACTGACACACACAAACAAACAGATATGCTCACATACACAGACAGACACACACACACACACACACACACACACACACACACACACACACACACACACACACACACACACACACACACACACTGTTCTTCATTTTTTATCAACACGTTACTTGTCAACTGCAATAATCTTATATAAAATTGATCTAAACCAGATAATCTCATCTTTTGGGCAAGAAACTGCAAAACCTCCAACACAAGGCACAGAATACGTAAAATAAAGAAGTCAAGAAGATAAAAAAAAGAAGTCAAGAAGATAAAATAAATAACTCGTTCAATTAACTTTTTTTTTCAAGTGTTTCCAAATCCTATTTATTTATGTTCTATTTCTGCCAGTCGGAGGAACTGATTATTATGGACTTATGACCCAAGGAAATGGTGGACGAGGGAGTGCTTCGTTCATTCCTCGACGAAGGCCTACATGACACGGGATAATCGTAAGAAATAATTGAAATACAGAGCCATGGTGCTGTCAAGGTCACGTTTCCTCTGCAAGTTTATCATCCTTGGTAACAGCAGCCTCCGCCATGACAACAGGTTTAAACACCGAGTCCTCTCTCTTCGTTTTACCTGAGCTATTTTGCCATCCTCGGGAGCTGGTCCATATTCCATTGTTTCGAAGATTTTGGCCACCGTTTTTTCGCTCGCCGCGCCAGCACTGACCTTCCCTGCCATGTCGCTTCGGGTGACTGAGTTCGGCTTCGTTGATTTGGTCCTTCGGGCTGGCGGTGGGGAAGCATAGAGGATTTGTTACGGAGAATATGTGCGAAGGGAATTATGTCATACGTTTTTGCTTCAGATTTACTTACTGGCGCTGATGTAGTAGTTGTATGTAGTAAACTGAATTTTAATGAAAGCGTTATATTTTGTTTAAAGAATGGCTGAATTAATCAACTGACTATTCTCCTCCATTTTCTCTTAAAAGTTCAATTGAGAAGTCAGTCTGTCTTTTGATAATAACTTTCTTATACACTAAATGATAATGAAAACAACATTCAAAGACATCTTCGCTAATAGATGAGTGTTCAGAAAAACTTATATTACAAGCCAAGAAACAGTAGTAAGTTACTTGAACTAAGGTCAAAGTCAAGACCCGATTTCGAACGCGCGACCACCTGATAACTAGCAAAGAGCTGATTGGTTAGAAGAGACACACCTCCAAGAGCGGCAAAATTAACTTCCTCTTGATTAGTTACCTCTCTATTAGTTTATCTCATTTAATAGTTCTAGTTTGTCTGATTTCGTAATCATTATGTTATGATTTACATTGTCATTATTATCAAAATTACGATGCATGTGTTCGTGTAAATT